AAAATCCGTTGATACAAGTAGAAGAAAAACTAGTACATCGAAATATATTCTACTTTCAAATAAAACATGGAATTAATATATTCTTTGAATAGTGCCTTTAGGATCTTAGCAACTTGTTAGAAATGTTAATTTGATAATGGTCTATCTTAAAACGATATTCAAAAGGAAAATGACAAATATGATAGCTAAAGAAGCTGTCTTGTGAAATAGATTGTGTTTACAATTGATGTGTTAGTGGAAGATAATATGTTCACAAAAATGAACTACTGCTCACAAATGGAATTATTGTTGATGTGCTGGTAAAGGAGAAAGTATTCACAAATGGAGCTACTACAAATGTGTTGGTTTGAAGAGAAGGTGTTCATAAGTGGAGTTCCTGATGGATTTATAAATGTTGAGCATACTAAAAATATTGAAGAAAACCCCATTCATAATGGACATGATAAACATAATGTGGATATGGTTTATAAGCCCAAAATGGATGATCTAGAGATAGTAAAGGAATCATTGTTTACAAGTGAAGTTCTTATTGAAATTGAAAAAGATTATAAACAATGAGGACATGAAAATTGCTAAGGAGATAATATTGACAAATAGAGTAGAAATGTTAAGTGAAAATGGACTTGAAGAATTTTTCTAAAAATCTGGTGTTGAAAAAAAAAAAGACTATAAATCAAGCAATACAACATCAAAAGAGTCCATATATACTTGAGTGTATGTTTAATGACTTTATATGACCAATATATATTAGAAATATGTGGCAAGCCTGTTAGTCCACTTCCCTCAACCTAATTTAAGTGATAGAGGTAGTTCTAGAGGAAATTATGGCATACAAAAATCTAAAATATGCTATTTAATTTGAGGTTTCTTATATCTACTTTTAATGACTCATCTTTCCTGGAATAAATTAATTGAAAAGCATCCATGGCTTTCATCTTCATTCTTATGCATATCAATGCCAAAAACCTCCTTGTTAGAACTAGATATGTATATGTTTTCCTATGTTTACCTTAAATTCCTCATCTTTCCTAGTAAGTGTTTTTTGGGACCTCTATAATCAATAGCCTTACCATGAATGTTTATGCTTCATATAATTTATATTTATCAGTTTCAAAAAATTTATGAGGAAATAAAATTATGTCTTACATATCTTATTGGGAATAAAAAATACTAAAGTAAATAGCACAATCCAGATTTAAATCTCCAACAACTTGCATAACAAAGAGTGCATAAAAGCAATGTTAATTCTTGAAAATGCACCCATTTTAAAGGATTATTTGGCTCAATAATTCTAGAACCACATTAGCACCTTAACATATGAATGCATAAAAATTTTAAATTTGTTGCAAATATTCGTAAACCTTAGTAGTTTGAGCACTTTATTTTATGCCCATCTTATAATATTCAATAGTGATGATGTAAAGTTAAAGCCAAAATTAAATAGTCTTTTGTGTCAAAAAGATCAATGTACTCAAGCTTAAAGCTTATGCACTACATATAAAGCAATTCAATATTGGAATTTTAAGCCAAATTTATGATGTGTTGTATAATAGATATTATATTATAAATATGAGAATTTTTATTAATTTTATTTGAAACATCCAAGATGATTTGTTGTGTGTGTAGCCCACCAAACTTTTTCATTATTTATTATATAAGACACTAAATTAAAATTATTTAGTAATTTTAAATAAGTAAAAAAATAACAAAAAGGACTATTTGAGCAATATTTATTAATAGACCAAATTACTATATTATTTTCAGTATATAATACAAGATTACCATCATTTTGAATTTTAAGAAAGCATAAACCATAATAAGTTTTTATATTGTCTGATTTCCATATTAAATTTCTTTTAGAATAAAGTGAAACTTTGCAATTTGATTCAATTAGTAATATATTTTTTCCATTTGAAGATCTTAAAAATTGTCCAGTAAAAAGAATATTATTTTTAAATCCAGCATTTAATGTTGTTAAACAGCTCTCTTGAATGAGTATAGTGTTATTTGATAAAAGTGAATCTAAGAGATTTTTATAAAAAAAGAAGGAATATTGAAGTTGGTAGTTAGGATTCATAATTCTACAAGAATTTGAACGTGCATTTCTTATAACATCTCTATAACCATTTATTATTCTATATAAACCATAATATAAACTATTACCTGTTAAATCTTCCCTATCTATGTTAACACAATATCTATTAGGTACACGTTTAATTTGTGTAACAATAACGCCTCTTGATTAATAATTATTTGAATTTCTTCTTCATTTAAAGTATTATTATTTCCCCAGGAAACGACTGTTGTTATCTGAATAAAAAAATATATGTTTAAAAATAAAATTTTAAAATATATTAAAATTAAAACTAAGTTTTTCATTGATAAATTTTGAATATTTCAATTTTAATTGAAGGATTGTTTTAAAATAAGCATAACACTTTGAAATTTATAATGACCTCACTTTTTCTAAAATAATTTTTAATTGTAGGATAATTATTATTAAATTATTATAATTTTATTACATAGTTTGTAATTTTGGAATTAAATTTTGTATTTTGAACTATAGAATTATTCTAAGGATTGTGATTATTTTTAGATAGATTCCTTAGTTTTCGAGTTTTTTTATATATTATTATTACATAATGGAATATTTATAACAGTTGGATTCTTAAAGGCTATTTTCCAAGAATAGGCTTGGACATTTTCACCTCTGGTAATGTTTTTATTTTAAGATTTGCCAAAGGGGCCATAATTTTTGAACAAAATGGCTGAAGAAGTGCTGTGATCTCAACTTCTGTCATCCCTTCATTATCTAAGCTTAAATTATATGATCTTTGTAGAAACTATGTCCATCTTGTTAGATAGAGCTCACAACCACATTCTAACAACTCTAGCACACAAACAAGCTGGATTTACATTGACTCGATTGGCAATTGTCCACAAATTCCTCCAGCGCTTCTTGCTTCTTCCTGAAACGCATTCCTCCACAAAGCTCGAGGCAAACCTAGAACAAGTGCACTGGGAAACGCCATGGCCTGAAGTGACCCCATGGGATGGTGGAGCCAGTCCGTGTTCTTGGCAACCGCATCCAAGATATCCTCCAGGACGTCCTGTTGAGCGCTGGGAGACCACCACAGGTCCCAGCCTCAGTGAAACCCAGCGCTAGAGCCGGGCTAGAGCTCGGTTGCATTCGCTCAGCTGCTAGATTCAAGATGGCAGATCACGCCCGCGTCTTTGGAGAAGCTGTAGCAGCCAACCCAGTCGGGCGAGACGCACTGAAGAGACCAGAAGGCCCATACAATCAGTGGAGAAACGAGCCATCCTTCGTCTTGTAGATTGCCTGCAGGAAGAGCCACCAATGCGCTCCACCGTGCGTTGCCACAACATGGAAGTTTTGCTAGCGATCCAGCTCCATCTCCCGCGTGATAAACTTGTAGTTGGGATGGATCCAGAGCGACTTGTACGCTAGGCCAAGAACACCACCTTTCTCTGGCGTAGCATGACAGGCTCACATCCAGATACATACACATTCCGACCCTTCTTCCAGAAACTTTCAAAGTGTACGTTCACTCTTTTGGATCACCTCTCTTGGCTAAAGTTTGCTGGGGTGTTTCTTTCGATCTTCTTCTTCTTCTTCTTCTTCTTCTTCGCGGGAGTCCATGCAGGGATAATCGATGTAGCCGAGCACAGGGTGGTGCGTGTAAAAGGTGGCGCGGTTGTAAGGATTGAGCTGGACGTCCCCGTGCCTCGCAAATCGCGCTGGGAGATCCGGGTTGGAGATGAAGAGGCGGCCGTAAGCCACCAAGTCCGCGTACCCCGACTGGATGGCAGCGTTGCCCAGCTCTTTCGTGAATCCTCCGCTGCACAGGAAGGCTATGGACGATCCGGACGTGGCCTCTCGCAGGAAGCCCAGGCTCCGGTTCCAGTCCCTGGAGCTGGCGAAGATACTCTTCCCCTCGGTCATCATCTTGGAGGACGAGAAGGCCGGCTCGGTGGCGTGGAGGTAGAGCACCCCGAGCTTGACGAAACCAGCTACCAGGTGGTGGGCGAGCGCTACCGGGTCGCTGTCCGTGGCACCGAGGTGGTCGATGATGGGGGAGATTCGAACGGCAGTGCGCTGCGGGCCGGCTTCTCGGCAGATGGCTTCCAGGATTTCGAGGACGAGCCTGGATCTGTTGGCGATGGAGCCACCGTAGGCGTCGTCTCGGTCGTTGATGCCGTCTTTGAGGAACTGGTCGAGCAAGTAGCCGTGCGCGGCGTGGATCTCGACGCCATCGAATCCGGCCGCGAGGGCGTTTCGTGCTGCGAGCTGGAAGTCTGTGATGAGCTGCGGTATCTCGTCCGTTTGGAGAGCTCGGGGGGCCGAGCATGGGACCGGTGTTCCATCTGGGAGCCGGACTGTCCATCTGGGAAGAAGTGGATTGTTTGTAGATGAGACAGGGGCCTGGCCTCGGGGCTGGAAACCTGTATAGAGAAGATAAGTTCTGTGCTACTTTCCTCCCATCTAGAAAGAAAAGAGGAACTTACAAGTATGTGATGCTCTTCCAACGTGCCAGAGCTGGCAAAAGAAGATGGCACCTTTGTCATGCACAGCTTTCACGACGGGCTTCCAGGCTTGAACCTGTTCGTCCGACCAGATCCCTGGAGAATGTGGCCACCTGAAAGCAAAGCAGTGGAGATCATTAGAAGAAAAGATCGAAAAAGAATATGCTCACCCGATTCCTTGCTGCGATACAGCTGCTGCCTCCGAGATCAAGAGCCCCCCAGGCGATGCTCTCTGGGAGTAGTAGAGGACGTTGGCAGGCTGAGGGATGTGGTCCGTTGCTCGGCAGCGAGTGACTGGCGCCAAGACGACTCTGTGCGACAGAGCGAACGGACCCAGCTGGAATGGTTCCATCAGAGGATTTGATGAGCTTTCCATTGCCTCCCGCTTCTGGCTCTCAAGATTGGACGATTCTGGCTCTCAAGATTGAACGATTCTGGCTCTCTGCAAAAGTGAAGAACGCATCCAAACAAGCTTATTGTATTCTTCCCTCCATGACTTCCTCAGCGCGTGCTTAGCGCATCCGATACTTGCGATACGTGCCACGGTGATGCCGATGCTTGCGAGGAAGATTAAAATGCGGTGAGATTGGAAGAGCCAAAGACTTGGTAGATCTGTGCCAGCTTGAGTGAGAAGAAGAAACAGAAAAAGCGACGTCTTTACCTTTGTGTGACGTACGGCCTGTCAAACAGTGGCACCGGACGCGCTTGAGTAATCATTTCACACCTCAGTGCTCTCACGAATCTCTCTTCTTCCTCCTGCCATCATAAATCAGTACTAGCATCTCATCGCGAGAATCTGGCTTACCTTTCTCGCTAATTCCAGCTCTTCCTTTAGTTGTTTATACATGCTTTGTTTCTCGACAATCTGAACGTGTAACTTGCTGAGCATTAATAAAGCATGTAGGAAAGCCGACCTTCTTTTCAAATGCTGCACGTTGGATAGCCCGATTGTCAGCTTTGAGATTGAACTCCTTTATTTCAGTCAGAGGCTTTCTGGATCTTCCAGGGACAAATACTGCACCACTGTTGGCAGGAAGAAGGTTAAGAATGGAAACATGAAACTGACTGTAGTAGGCGAAAGTAGTAGAGCGTAGCAGAGGTACCTGCAGCTTCTTGGTTGGGCTCGAAATCTAGACAACTCTGCCCTTTGCTTATCCGCTCTAGCGCGATCTTCAGCTAAGCGTTGCACTTCCTGTTCATGCCTCGTTAAACTCTCAAGCCGAAACGGTTCTGGTCTTGTGCATGGCTTCTGAGCTGGTTTTGCAGGTACCTATGGCACAAAGAATGAATCTGTCAGGCTTGATTGAGAATGAACGTACGTTTGGAAAATCCGTTGTGAACGGCAGCAAATTCGCTTTCGGGATTCTTGACAACGTTTCGGACGTCATCTCTTTCGAAAGTTCTTCCATAAACTTCCCCATCTTAGCCGAGCCTCGTTCCTGCAGATCAAAGCTAACACTAGTGAAGAATTATGCAACCAAACCTCTGTCAGAAGATGGAAAGGTTTTGCGATTGTTTTTCCTCGGATTGGACGAGGATGCGAGTCAAGAGAAAGCTGTCACAAGGTAGAATAATATAGTTATACTCTTTTAAGCGAGAACTTACCCTCCTGAAACCTTTAAGAACTTCTCGATGACATCTTTCCTTTGTGGCAAAATTAAACTCCTAGAAAGTTGCAAACAGAAGCTTGGTTGAAAGTAACAAGTTGACTTACCAATGGAACTGTCACATGACGTTTCTGATGTCGATAAATCCCCAAATCTCCTCGGCTCTCAAAAACCTGCAACAAGTCGATGTGAATGTGAAACAAGACCAGGAAATGACGACCTTTTTGTTGAGTGGCAGTGCCTTGAACTTTGGAACTTTAGCTCGCTCATCTTGTACCAGTTCGTCGCTGCTTTTGGCCCTGAAAGAAGACTAGTAAAATGTGAGACTCTTAAGAGAAAGTAAGATACCTTGGCCGATCTGGTATGGATATATGACCCGCAGGAGCAGACTTGCGTCTTTGCTTCTTCTTTGTTGAGAGCTGAGGAGACAACAAATTGTTTTCAAATCGGACAAATAACAACAACAAACTTACGTTCAAAGGCTGCTCCACACACTTTAGAGAAGTATGCTGCATAGCACGCTCGTTCGTTTTCAGATTGAATTCCTGTAGAACATTTGTCGACATAGCGAAGTCTTATATTTTCGTATACCTGAAATCGTGGTAACTCAGGAGTACTTCTCGGGAAAGCAGGCAAAGTCGGGGCTTGAAGGATCTGTGAACATTAAATGCGAGAATTTTCATCATGAGAAGTCTTACTTTCTTATTTGCGGGGCGTGCTTTGAACTTTGGCATTTTAGAAAGAATTTCTTCCTCGAGCTCGGTAGCGCTCTTTACCCTGGTAAGACGATACGAATTGGTCTTATCAAGCGATGTCAAAGAACGGGCAAAACAACTAGCCTCGGAGGTCGTGATCGAGAAGAAGTTTCGAGTTCTGGATCCTTTGGCCTTGACAATGTCAATTTTGGTTTCTGATTTAATAGGACGTTAGAAATTAAAATGTAAAATATGGTCTCACATTTTGCTTCTGAAAGGGTGCAGGTGTTCTAAGGTGAAACCGTTGAACTTGTTCAGCCACTGATACGAAATCGCCCATCTGAAGGAGATCGCGTCAAACTTTAGACATACCAATATTAAAAAATCACCTTTGAAACACTGTCATGTCCTCCTTTTCTATGCATTTGTGCTCTCTTGTCCGTTGAAAGCTGAAATGTTTGAGGAACGGTTGGAGCAGGCGTATACTTATGCGCCTGCGCCTACAATGTTGGCTTAGTTTTGAAACAACTAAAATGCATAGAACTTTCACCTGCTTTTGTCCTCCATCTAGTTTTCGTCTTTTACAGGAATTTCCTTGAGGTGTTGGGGCTGTTTGTTGCTTGGCAATGGCTTTCTTCTTTTTTGTAGTATCGTGAGTATGCCTGCAAGCATAGAAATCAAGCGTCGATTTAAATATTTCCAGTTTCATAGAAGATTACGTACCTTTTCATTTGTTTTTTCACAACGGCTGGTTCCCATAATCTCTTGGCAGGAAAATCTGCAGTCAAACCTGGTTGCATCCTGGCAGAATCTTCCGGCACTTCATTGCTGCCAGTATCCGCGCTTACTATGACTTCATTTTTCTCGGGCGTTGAGAGATCTATCACCTCTGGCAAATCTGAACCAGCAGCTGCAACAGAACAAAAACGTCCAAGTTGAACATGATAAATCCTACTCACCCAGAGAAGTCGTCGTGGCTGTAGTGTCCGTTGTCTGGCTGTCTAATCGGATCAAAAGCTTCAACTTCCTGTAAAAGTCGTGAGAAACAACAAGTCAAATTGCTGATAGCTTTACAGTTGCTCGTCTCTATCCGGATGTGTGATCTGGATCGAAATTAACATCACGTGTTAGGAAAAATCGTCGGAAACATTGTCTTTTTATCAGCCATCACAGACCTGGTCTTGTTTGGAGTCGGAGAATGGACAAGCTGTTAGAAGGAAATACCACACTATATTAATAACACAAGAAAAAAAGATGGAGGAACTTACGTGATGGCTCGTAACCAGCAGCGATTTCAAACCACCTCTCCACGGCTCGGACCTGTTCTTCAGTCTCATCCACGCAGAAATCGAAAAATTGCGGGGCACAAAACTCGTAGCAAATGTCGTGGCAGCTCAAGGGAGGCATCGGTAACACCATCGCCATTGCCGCCATGCCAAAGAATCCAAAGCTCCAATGCACTCTAATCCTAGGGTCACACCGATCGCGCCATTCTTTGGTCACATTCTTGGATTTCTTGGAATTGCTCCACAATATGTCGGCGATCGAGAGGATTCTTGCTCACCGCTGCGATCAAAACCCCGATTCAACGAGGCGCGCGCAAAGATTGAGAGACGAGAAGAGAGATCGGGAGGGAGATTTCAAGAACACTCACCAGGATCACCGCCATCGCCCCACAACGCCGAGAATTAGGGGTTCACCACCCGAAACTCCTGCGATATTCACAGCATCACCTGGCAGCGCCAGCGTTAGATTCTCTACTCAAGAGAAAAATATTCCCATGTGAAAGGCATATTCTACTATACTAAGAATATTCTAGATTTTAAATTCAAATTCATTTTCTTATTTTCTTACCGCCCACGAGCGTCGACTCGACCAAATCCGGGGAGACACGTGCAAGAAAGTGAAGCCGCGAAGAAGCTAGTCTCCATTAATGAAGGAAGCTGCGCGGTTTGTCCGATTAAGCCAATTCGCTACGTGCTACCATGCCTTGCTCGTTCGTCAACTCGTCAAACAAAGAGTGCTGTGTGTGTGGCGGCATATCCACCTAACGCGGTACAACGCACCGTTCCCCGCACGGTACACCAACCTCCCACCAGACCGCGCGGTCGTTTCGGGCGCCGCGCGCTCTAAAGGAAGCTAGTAGCGGCGCAGCCAGGCCCCACTATAGCGCCCGACCGGACCCAGCGGCGCCGCCGTAGTCCACGGGTCAATCTCCTTGCTTTATAATCTCTCTTCTCTTCTTCCCCAGAGATAGAAGGCTCTCACTCTCTCTCTCTTCTTCTGGAACTTCTCCGCTATAGCAGGAGCGCATGGAGCTCTCGATCGAGAAACTGAGATCGCCCAGGCGGAGATCATCGTTCTCGAGTAGCTTCTTCCCGGAGGATCAAGCTAGCAGCGCTTGCTCCACCCCATTCGTGAGCGCCCCCTCCAGTCCCCGCTACTACTACAGCGCGCCACCGAGTCCTCCTCCTCTCAGGCATGATCTAGGCGGAGCGGAGGCGGCGGTGCCTTTCTCCTGGGAGGAGCGTCCAGGAACTCCAAAGTCATCATCGCCAACTTCTTCTTCCAGGACGACGATGAAGAACTCGGTGGATCATCTGGCAGCCATGGGAATGGGATTCCACTTCAGTGCTCCGGTGAGCCCCCAGCGAGGAGAATTCGACCACCAGGTGAATGGAGGATTGATCGACGAGTTTGAGTTTAGCTCCGCCAGGATATCTGACGCCGACTCGGTAGTCTCCCACGCCGATGAGCTCTTCTTCCAAGGACAGATCCTTCCACTCACGCTTCCCAGCCGCTTACAGCACCACAAGTCCATCTCTCTTCAGCTCCAGGATTTTAGTCCACGGACGAGTGATGTCTTTAGCCCCGGAGCAGCGCTGTCCAGCCACCAGCTTCCATCTCCAAAACCGCTGCTCAAGTCACCACCCCGGCTATCCTCGCCTTTGCAATCTCCGCATCGATCCAGGTCGCCGTCCAAGCTTGCGAAGGTTGGCTTCCCTGACGAGAATAGTTTTAGGAGCCGGTCTCGTCATCCTCCACCATCGTCTCCACGGAGAAGCTTGCGAGAGTTGCTCCACCTCAGCGTGAGCACCAAGTTCGCCATCCTCAAGCCTTCCGACAGCCGGAGTGGCAGCAAGTCTTCATCTGGAACCGACAGTAGAAGTGGCAGTCTCAAGTCCTCTGGAACTGACAGTAGAAGCTCCAGCAACTCCTCGTCGTCTCAGAGGTTCTCCAACTCGAGGAGCTCGTCCGTTTCATCGAGCGGCGCGTCCAGGCAAGTCACTCCTGTGTCCTCGCGGGAGCTGCTCCAGAATTACAGCAAGAATCACAAGCCACAAGAATTGAGAAGGAAGACGTTGCTACCTTACAGCCAGGGTCTTCTAGGATGTCTCAGCTGCCTCACGGTGCCGTCCCTCCGACGCGTCCAGGATCTCGACTATTAAAGTGGAAAAACGATGAACACGTTTGGTTTGGAAAAGAATACTTAATGGATCACTTACTGGATCGGAGGAACAAAGAAAAAAAAGGCTGTTTTGTTGCAGTAGCTAGATGCCGCACGAACGAATGCCCCTGTAAAGAAAAATGCCTGACAGTTTGTAATAGAAAAGCGAGCACGATGCACGCACAAGGAAAAAAAAAAGAAGAAAGCCTTACCAGTGAATATTCTGATTCATCTTGCTTTTCTCTTTCTTGGGTTCGTGTCCCGGACGTAAGAAGTCACTGGTTTCGGTAAAGCAACTCCAGCACTCCGGGAGAGTTGAGCAAGCTGTTGAAAAAGGGCTTTGCTTTCGTTGTTGATGAAAGCAATCGCAGTACCCGGCTCATCCAATCTCGACGCTCTCCCGAGCTGATGAGTGTACTCCTGGACAGTGTTTGGCATGTCGAAGATGATCACCTGCGTGGCTCTGAGAAGATCCAACCCCCGCCCCAAAACTCCTGTAGCAACGATCACGTCCAAGCTCCCAACCAGGAAGCTTTTCAGCACCTCACGCCTCTCCTTCATTGCCTTGTGCCCGTGCAGCGAAGCGCACCGCAACTTCGTCACCTTGGAGATGGCGTCGCCCAAAAGCTCCGCTCCAAGTCTAGAGTTCACAAACACCACACCTGGCGGCTGGAAGCGCGAAGAACTCTGAAGAATGTCAAACAACTTCTTCTTCTTGTTCTTCGTTTCCACCCAGACAACCGTCTGCTGCACGGCACCAGTGGGAGCACCCGGCGGACCCGCGGAGATGACCATCAAACTCTTCGCGATCGACGTCGCAAACTTCTCGATCTCGGGAGGAACAGTAGCCGAGAAAAGCATCATCTGCGGGGTCGGGAGAGCCCGGACGATCTGCATGACTTGCTCACGGAAGCCCCGTTCCAACATGCAGTCCACTTCGTCGAGCACGAGCACGGAAACTTTGGCCAAGTTGACGTCCTCGTGCCTGGAAAGCACGTCCAAAAGCCTGCCTGGAGTCCCCACAATGAGCTCCACTCCCTTCCTGATCCTATACACTTGCTGCGGCATCACATCTCCCCCGACCACCAGCGCGGTTTTGAAAGGCAGGCCCTTGGCGAGAATCTTAGCGTGGTCCTCCACCTGCGAGCTTAGCTCCCTTGTCGGCGTCAAGACCATGGCGAGCGGAGGACGAGACGTCTCGTCGTCCTCGTCCGGACCTCCTCTCCGGATCTTACAGCACCTGGCGATGATCGGCAGTAGAAAGCTCAGCGTTTTCCCGGATCCGGTGTGGGACGAGACGAGCAAGTCGCGGCCTGCGAGAGCTGCTGGGAGAACTTGCATCTGGATTGGAGTGGGAGCCTCGTAGCCAGCGCTTGACAAGTTCTCCATGAGCCTGGGAGCGAAGCCACACTGTCCAAAGTCAAGGATGGGAGGACGTGGCGGAGCTCCTCCTTCTCCGCGGACCGAGACACCGATGCTTTCTCTCAGAGCTAGAGCATCCTGGATCGAAAGACCGCCTGTGATGGATTCCTGGTCGATCTCCCACTGCTCGTTCCTAGCCTTATGAGAATTCGAAGTGAGTTCTTTGTACCTGACCACCACCTTCTTGCATTCCAGGCTACACACATCGTCCCCGGTCTCGTCGCAAATGTACTCCCCAAATCGCTCACACACGGCGCATCGCGGCTCGCCATCGCCGGCATTTCGCTGCTCCACGCACCGCTCCTTGACGGGCTCGCCATCGACCTCTTCTACCAAAACCAGAGAAATTTCTTTGGAAAACCGATCCAATCCCACCGGCGCTTACCTTCATGATGCTCCTCCTGCGCCGCCGAGACGAGATCCCTCCTCCCGAGCGCCGGAACGCGCGATGGATCTCCGCGCGCCGCTAGACAGCGTGGGAGGAACATAGCACATAGAAAACCCTAATTTCTCACTCCAATTAAAACTAAGTATACATACAGTTAGCTCGCAATCGTCCACCATAGCCAAGCCTTCGGACCTTCCACCGGAATTCTTCCAGTCTCGCCCAAGGAGCTCTTTGCGAGAGAGCTCCTCCTCGTCTTGGTGCTTGCTAGTTAAATGATCTTCCGGGGCTTCGTTATTGTCATTGATCTTGGTCTTGATCTATAGCAGTGTGATCTTCGGCTGCGTGGTTAATTCCGTCCAGCTCTCCATCGTCGTCACACATTTGAGTTTCCGCGTTAGCAGCAGCAGCTTGTTTCACGAACTGGCCTCTCACTCGCGGACGCTGCTCGGCCAGCCTCTTTCTACTTTGGTATCGGACCTGGAAGAACAAGCCATTAGAATTAGCTGTGACAATTCTCACATCTTCAAGCACTTGGAAATCGATCCATCAAAGGAAAACAAAAGCTTTCTCTCCTCGCACTCTCGTCAAGCATGGAGAAGATCACGAAAATGATAAAGTTCACAAAGCAAAAAACCGAGTTTTCAGAGCACAAGAAAAAAAAAAACAGTTTTGAGACTTCTCTCCGCTCGCATTCTCGCCAAGCAGGAAACTCTAATGCTTTCACAAGGAAATAAAAGCAAGGAAAAGAAAAATCGAATAAGAGAGAAAAACACGAAGAACACAACCAAAACGAAGAGAAACACAAGGAACACAAACAAAACGAAGAGAACGCGAAAAACACAAACAAAACGAGGGAAGCACGAAGAACACAAACGAAATGAGAAGAACACAAACAAGGCGAAGGAAGAACATACCTTCTTCTCGAAACACCGCTCTTTCCTCTTCTGCCGGAACTTGTAGAGAGCAACCTCTCGCCGCGTGAGCCGAGCACTGTCTGGAACTTGTGTTGCTCCACCAGCTTCATTGATGGTGTTACTAGTGTTGCTACCATTGGTCACGCCAGTAGCAGCGGTAGCGTTTCCACCCCTACTGCTCCCATTGTTGGTACCACCACTGTCACCATTACCAGCCGCTAGACTGCAGCTCCCCTGGCCTTTGTGGATGTTATTGTTGTTGGCACTAAGATTGTTGCTACCCGAGACGCTACCATTCACGCTACCATTGGTGCCATTCACGCCGCAGCCATTGCTACTGCCACCATTGCTCGCCTCCTCGTTGCCACCACTGTTGTTAGTAGCCCCACCGCCAACACCGGCCTTGGGAGCTTTGACGCTCACGTTGGACGATCCACACTGCTGAGTGCTTCCAACTCTCATCAAGTTAGCATTGTTGGTAGTGTTGTTGTTGCTGGTGTTGGTGTTGTTGTTCACGGTTAGCTCGTCCTCCTCCTGCGGCTGCTGTGCATGCTGGTGGTGATGGTGGTGGTGGTGGTGGTGATGGTGGTGTTGTTGTTGTTGTTGTTGCTGCTGCTGCTGCTGTTTTTGGCTTTGATCTTGCTGCTGTTCTTGATGGTGCTGCTGCTGCTGCTGCTGGAGTTGGATATGATGCTGGAGCTGCTGTTGTTGTTGTTGCTGCTGCTGCTGCTGGTGAGGAGCTGCTAGCATCGGAGGCGGCCACGCCGGTGGAGAAGAGCCGTGGTAGAAAAAGTGATGGAGAGACTGAGCGTAAGCTGCCGCGATGTCGTTAAATGCCACGAAGTCCGAGGCTGCGAGCTTGAACTGGGAGGCGGCGGCTGCGGCAGCGGCGGCAGCGGCCGCCACCGCCGCTGCCTCGGCTTTTGGAGGCTTGAGGACTTCAGCGGCGGCGGCCGCGGCGTTTGCATGGTGGTGATTCTGGTCTGCTGCTGCCGCTGGTGTGGATTTCTCGTTTCCAAACCAGAGGTTGGCGGCGATGGAAGAGCTCAAAGTCGAGTTGTGCTGGAGCAAAGGATTGTTGCTATACCTGAGACACGCAAAGTGTCAGTGATCTTTATCGTAAAAGTGAAAGAAAAAGATAAAAACCCGACCTTGAAAAGGCAGATCCACCGGAATGATGCAAGAGCCGCTTTTGCTCGCCATCGCCGTCGTCCGGCCCCTTAACGCGCGTCCTTTTCAGCGACAACTCGAGCGCTGAATCGTTGGAAGGCACCGAGTTATCCTTGGAGTCTAGTTTCTCACCCGGCTGCTCAAACGCCGCTTGCTTCTGTATGCTCGCCAGTAAATCCTTGCACGAAGGCTCCCCTCCTCCTCCACTCTTCCCTCCCGCCGCGAGCGATGGAGCCCTCTCGAAAATGGTGATGGAACTCGAAATGGTGGACTTTGCTCCGAGAAGATGACCGCCGAGCAGCTGAGAAGCAGTCCTGCTTTTTTCCGCCATAGCCACCTCTCCGCAATCACGATCGATGTCGATCTCCTCTGCAAGCCAACCACCAGTTATCTCACGGAAAGATTGGACTCGAGAAAGAATACCACGTTTGTCACGCTGGAGAACCAGCTCCTCGGTGGCATGGCTTTGAACTTCCACTGGCTTCTTCGTCCACGAGCTCTGCAGGAGAGAAAGCGAGGCGTAGACACGAAAGAACGAAAGCGAGACGCTCAAAAAGCTCTACCTGGGTGCCGCTACCATTGTCACTCCCACCTCCGACGTTCAAGCCACTTCCATGCTCACTTCCACCGTAGCTCTGACTGTTGTTGTTCCCCCCGGCAGCCTTTCCAGTTTCACTTCCACTGCCACTGCCACTCGACTTTCGAGCACGCAACCAAGAAAAACGGGATTTTTCATCAGTAAACACGAACTCCAAGGCATATGTCAACAGCTTACGCTCAAGCACATCCTCCAAAAGTGCTGCCACAGGTTCTTGAGCTCGTTCTTGCGAACCGGCTTCACGAGGAAGTCGACCGCGCCTTTGGACAAGCACTTGAGCACAACGTCCATCGAGTCCAGGCAAGACATCACTGCAAAATCCGAGAAGCGTTAGACCATGGCACTCGCAAGCGTAGCAAACACTTACTAACAACTGGTATCCTCTTGGGCGAGTCACGGCTCATGATCTTGCCGAGGAGCTCGATCCCGGACAGCCGCGGCATCATCAAGTCCGTGAGCACCAAGTCGACGCTGCTGGATCTCGTCTCGAGGATCTCCCAGGCTTGCAAGCCACTAGCGGCAGGCGTGACTGAGATTCAAGCACAAGCACAGAGCCGACAATTAGAATCGTGATCCGAGAAACCAAGACAGTAACCTTCGTAGCCACAGTTGCGGAGGAGCGCCGCCACGACGTGCCGGGTGGAGTCGTCGTCCTCCACGAGAAGAACTTTAAGGTGGTGATGCTGGAAAGCATTCTCAGCTTGCTGCTGCTGGCGATGGCGATGCTTCTCCTCCCCCTCTGGCTGGAGCTCTTGCTCCTCCTTTTGGTTCCCGGCATGGATCTTCGAATTTGGCTCCGCATTCTTTAGATCGTTCCCGCTATCGTTGTCGTCGGAGCTATTGTTCGTGGGAGGAGCTCCATTCTCGTTGCTACCCTGTGCTCCTTTGCCATTCTCGCCGCTGGCCTCTCCCCTAAGAGCACACGACACACTACTAGCTATGGTGGGGGTAGTAGTAGTAGTAGTACCGTTGACAAGCACGCCTTCCACCTTATTCATCAAAGGAGACCCGCGATTTCTATCCTCGAGAGCTAAGATCCTAGACACCACTCTCTTGATCTTGTGGCTGGATCAACCATCTGTCCCCTGTCCTACGCTTAGCCGGGACGGCGGCACTCCAGGAGCTCGGGGCTTCACCTCGCGGGACATTTAGGAAACCCCGTGAGCTCCAGCTTGATCCTCCATGACTGACCCACCCGGAAGATTTGCGCCCTTACCCACAATTCCCAGCGATCCGCGCTCCAACGCCCAAGAATTCCTGCGTCGCAGCACTGGCGAAGCTTGCGAAGCGAATCCACAGCGGCAAGGAAGGATAGACGCGAACAAAAGAAAGAAAGATTATACTCGACCCTTCCACAATCCTAGCTGGCGCACGCCACGCGGACGTGGCTCAGCCAGCAGGGCGGAAATCTCGGAAGATTTTTCCCCGGCCAAGTCGAGCTGGCATGCCACGCGGCGTCCCGGGACTCGCTGATCCTGTCCACGTTGGCGGCGAATCATGCGGATCTAATGGAGGGACGCGAGTGGTGAGAGGATCAAATGGGTGGCCAACCAGCACACGAGATATTTTGTGGACACGTGGCATTTTTACTACGACGAATTCTGGTGGTCGGCTTCCCTCCACGTGGCGAGGGTTAAATTGCGGGAATATTCGCTCAGACCCTACAATAAAGCAAAAGATAAAGTAAAAGCGCTTCGCTTTTTTCTCTTTAACGCGCTTTAGAAGGACTTGATCGATTCTGCTGCCAGTAGTCGAAACCTTTGGACAGGTGGGCTAAAGGTCGATCATTCCAGATACCATACTGTTGATCACTCAATCTATCTTAGAATATATTTCTTGACCGATTGTCCTTTTTATCGTGGTCTCTTGCTTTGAGAGCCACGTACCATCAATTTATCCTTTTAAGATAAGGATAAGCCTAGTATTTTATAACAACGTATTGCTATGAAGTACAGTTGAATTCTTTATAAAAAACATTTTCATCCAAAGTAAGTCATCAAACTTGCTAAGTTTTAACACAACGAATTAAGTGAATTCTCTAACAATATAGAGAATTAAAAATTGTCTACATATAGAGTGTTAACTTTTGTTTGGAAATGAAGTGTGTCTATAATCTATATATCTATGCCGACCTCTGCTGAGATCCAGCCCATGCTCACCACATTTTTCGAAAGAAGAAACCGGTGACTATCCTCAGTGACATTCCTACCACTGCGGCAACGAAAAGCAACAGGACTCACAGCTGAGTTCCTTAAACACCCACTTACTATAATGCTTCGTCAACTTCTGCAAAGCATTTGACACAGTTCCTTGCCACAACACCAAGTGAAGTTCCCGGGGCTCCTTTATCTCCCACACTGTTCAGGATGGTGTGTTCACAGGGCATGTTGTATGGTAGCTTCGCTACTAGTGTTGGCGCAGCTATTGATTCCAGCGCTTTTATCCTGCACTTGAAACCATCAACAAAAACCCTGACCTCGGAAAAGCTCTTGATATTTTCTTGACTTCAAGAAAAGCGAAGGCGCTATGCAAAGTGATATCCAAACCGAATGCCTAGAGATTGTCTTACCCTTCAACCAGATCTGCAGCTAGAGAGCGCCCCAAGAAGGATTCGGTTTAGGGTGTCTCTCTCCAAACTCCACTAGATTGGGGCTCTCTTGATCTGACCCAGCATTGATTTTTCTCCTGGGAAATGCGAGGACATGGATCTTTGGAGACGTACCTTGAGAAGCCATAGGCGGGAGAGTCTTGCGAAGTCACTGAATGACTCGTTGACTTTGGAGATGGGTTGCGTAAAGTATATATATATTCCACCACACAAACTTTTGTTTGAATTGATGCGAAAACGAATATAGCGCTCAAGAATCCTAGAGTCGGAAGGTAACGAGCTCGGGATCAATGCCGGCGGGCGCCGTGCTGCCCTGGCCTGGATCGTGTGCCAGCTGCTTGGCAATCGCCATAGCGGTGCCCAGGTAATCTTTGTGCTGCTGGAGCAGTGGGAGTTTGGTCCATTCCTTGTGTAATGTGGCCTTGGCGGTGGTGTTGATGCTGTTCTTCTCCTCGTATTTCCAGTTCCCAGTCTGCCACTCGAATTCGTAGAGGGGGAGAAAGCGCTGGCCATAGTCCGCCACGAACTCTATGGCGCACAGCAAGAAATGGAACTCTTCCTTGGAGAGGAAGTATGCGAAGTTCAAGCGCGTCCATCCAGGTTTGACACCGCTATATCCCTGTGAGAAAAAAAAAAAGTTCTTTCCTCGTTAGAAAAAAGCTCCTTGGCGAAACCTTCTATTGTTTTGCTTCTCAACCTCTTGAATTGCTGCTCGAAATTTCAGGGAAAGCTCATCACTGACTTTGAGAAGCGAGTGGCCGTAAGGACCAGCACACGAGCACCCTCCTCTCGACTGGATCCCAAACAAATCGTTGAGGAGCTTGGCTACAAACCGGCCTTGCAGCACGGTTTGCTGGATTCCACGGTTGGAATCAGTGGTCCGGACGAGGAACGAGACGATTGCTGCTCGTTTCACTTGCGTGTTCCCGAGCACCACTATCTTTCGGTTCTTGGACAACCTTTTCAACGCGGTGGTGATGAAGTTGTGCTCTCTCGACTCGATGAGACGGTATCCTATTTCTTCTTGGACAGTGAAGACAATCCCGGCTTTTATCCGCTGGAGTATGGAAGGTGTTCCAGCGTCTTCTCGGCTTTCAATGTCCTCCAGGTAGAGTGTGTCCTGGTATGAGTTTGTTTAGTGTTGGTTTTCTTTTTTCTTTCGCTGGAAAGGGAACTGACCTCTTTGTTGTAGTTGACGAAGTCTACCACTCCTCCGCCTGTTGTCGACGGTGCGTGATCCTTGAGCTTGTAGAGCTTTTTGTTCATGCAAAGCAGGCCCGGTGTTCCTGGCCCTCCGACATACTTGTGTGGACTCAGCATCACAGCATCGTATCCATCAGCTTTTCGCGATCGCATGTTGATCTTCACATATGGACCGCTGTTGATCAGATTCGGCAAGTAAGCTTCTTTTCGTCCTTGTTAAAAGATCTCGTCTTACTTACCAGCTTGCAAAATCAAAACATGCTAATGTTCCATGTTTGTGTAGAAGGCGAGCGATGGCTCTAGTGTCCACTAAAACTCCCGTGACATTACTACAAGCTGAGAAGGAGCCCAGCTTTGGACGATCTGCGTGCTTGGGATTTTGCAGCTCCTCTTCGAGGTACTTCATGTCAATCAATCCATCCTCGGTCATTGGAACTTGAATAACCTGTGGTTTAAACAGCTGACAGATTGAAAGAAACGAAAAAGTCCAACCTCGGCAAGACTTTGGCTCCAGGGAAGAATGTTGGAATGATGTTCGTATGGGCCCATGAACACCAGCCATCTCGTCCTGTCATCGATCGCTGCCACGGCTGACTCTCTCATTTGGGGCGGCACAGACAAGCCCAAAAGTTCGTGGAGCTTTTTCACAGCTGCAGTGGTTCCAGAGCCGCAGAAAAAGAGAGCATTGTCCTCGGTTCCTCCCAGGGACTCCTTGACATAACTCGTAGCCAGTTTCACCATCCGGGTGGTCTTCTCTCCGACGTAGCTGTCCTCGGCATGCATGTTCCCTGAAACAGAATGCAGCGGGTCCAGATATGCAGAAGAGAATTCACGGCTTCACTCACCGTAGGACGGCATGACGTGCTTGATGAGGAAGTTTTCTATATAGAACAAGCAGCGGCCAGAGGCAGTGTAATCGGCATAAGTGAGAAGCCTGCTGCCGAATGGTGTGGAGATTTGGAGCTGGGAGCCGATGATCTGGGATCTGAGCCAGACACACTTTTGCTCATCGTCAAAGGGGCTGAAGAACTTGAAAGGATTGGGCTTGAAGTCTGGCTGCCAATCCTCCTTGATGCTGGGAGTTATGTTGCTGGCCTTGAAAGCTGACTTTGAAGCAAAGCACCTCATTGTCTTATTGGTGAGCACTCTCTTACTTTGCTTATGATACGTTTGCTACCTATAACTTTTAATGAATTTTGTGGTAGTAGGATCTTATTACTCGTAATATTTGTAATTCATTTTTACTACTAATTACTGTAAGTTATTATATTTGTAATACAAAACTGCTTTAGATAGTTTCACTGCCTATAAGTATGGTATGAAATGCTTTAGTCCTAATATGGTAAGGAAATAACATGTTTTGTCAAGCTTGACAAATTCTAAGAGACTTATCACCTAAGTGGGTTCTTAGTCTTTTGTTGACCATTGCAAATCCCACTTGATTACTTTCAAATATCTATAAGGTCAACAAAATACTAGGAATTCATACTATTCAAATCTAAGAATGTTATATTAAAGATTTTTAACCAATTGGAAAAGGGATGCATTTTTATTCATAAATTCTTTCTTTTTATATTTTAACCCCTATAAATTGTCTTTCAAATCATTCTTTTAGTTATTTATAATCCATCATGCTTCCTTATAAGCTTCCTTGTAAATAGAAGTTGAAAATTGTAACTCTCTCAAGAACCCCACTCTCTTAACACCCTACCTCTTGGGTCGAGCTCATCCAAAAGCAAATTAAATTTGCCAAATGTCAATTTTAATATATAGTGTGATAAATCAAGTTTGTAAACAAAAGTTAAAAGTCATAACCCTTCCAAGAGCCTCACTTTCTTTACACTCTACCCTTCAAATCGAGCCTACTTAGAGGCAAATTAAACTTGCCAAATGTCAATTTCAATATATGGTATGACATACTATACTTTTGGAACCCCCCAAAGGCCCCCCCCCCCCCCACCCCCCCCTGGGGGACGATCACTTTGGGCTTTCACCCAACTGCCTGTATTAGTATTCGGACTCGGACTCGGTCTCGGTCCCGGTTTCAGACTCGGACCTCGGTCTCGGTTCCATCTCGACTCCATCTTGGACTCCATCTCAGACTCCATCTCGGGTCCATCTCGGACTCCATTTTGGGTCCATCTCAAACTCCATCTCAGACTCCATCTCGGGTTCATCTCGAACTCTTCCACGTGTTATGTGTTAGTCCTTTTTGGGTCTCTTTTTAGAGCCTCGCTTATTGTTCACTTCGTGCTCATTTCTCGAGCACTTTGTTGGGAGTTCCATGTAAGCAACCAAAGAGAACGACTCGAGAGATGATCCATAGGGTTCAAATATAGAAGGAAAGGGCCCATGAACAAGAGTGCACCCCCTTTTCCAATCGGTTAAGGGTCTTGGGATACTTAAGGTTAAGCGTCCTTGGATTTGAATAGTACTGGGCTGGGTGACCTCCCAGGAAGTCCAAACTTAGGAGCTTACATTTCATATCAGAGCGGTCTCAGGTCCGACTCTGTTGGTTGGAT